TCTTTCTTGCTAAGGAAGTGGGTCCCAAGACCTCGATGATGAGAGTCGGCCTTGGCTTAACAACCTTAAGGAGGAATGCCTTTGCAGGTATCTAAGCCAGGACTTATGAGTTTCTTTGCAAATTATGTCTCTTCGAGGGGGGCATTGGCCCCTTACATAACAAGAAAGGAAAAGATGAGAAAAAAGAAAGAAAAAGGCATAAGTTTGGCAAAAAAAAATCAAGTGTATTCAGTGTATTCATTGATCATTAAACTCTTTACAAAAAAGAGGCCTCTGATGGGGGAGGCTGAGCCCCTTACGAGAAGAATGACAAACAAAAAGAAAAAAAAAAGAAAAAAAAAAGAAAACAAGAAGCAAAAGGATGTCCGGTTGAAGCCCTGACCCCTTGCGAGCGCTTTCATTCAACCTCGATGTCAACGCGCTCATCGGCTACTTCTTGCTAAGTAGGTTGCTTAGCACTGGCTTGGCCCTTAACTGGCCCCACCACCTCGGCTGCTTGTTGGCTTGGAGGTTGAAGCCCAAGCTAATTGACATCAAAATCTAGAAGGAGCGCTAGCACCTAAGCCATTGGTATCCTCAATGCCCTCCAACTCATCGTTGTGGGCTTCGGAGGCCTTGTACTCGTCCACATTTTGAATCGAGGCCTCTTGAAGCTTATGCACCGCCTCATCCAAGGAAGCCTTGGTAGCCCTCAACTGCTCCCTCTTTGCTGCCACTTCGGCCTTGAGCTTATTGCAGCACTTGTGCTCCCCATGGGCCGCCTCGGCAGTGGCTTCCTGGTTGGCCCGCTCTTCGGCCAACTGGTGCTTCAGCTGTTTGTTCTCTTCTTGTGATGATCGGAGCTACTACAACAACACCCCACCTTATCGCACAAGCCAAGAGCATAGGAGGACGTCTGCAAAGACACAAGAAACCTTCATCATTTGGAAAAAAAAACTAAGTAGGAGTATAACATCAAGCAAATGAAGATCAAGCCTTACCTCAGCCAGTCTATCTGGTAGGGTACGGCTTGGATGGAGACTTGAGTCCAGGAGTGCCGATCCCCCGTAGGAAGCACCCCCTTGACTAAAGCACGACTGATGTTCGGGTTGATGAGGGAGCCACCCTCCCTAACATTCCAGTTCGGGTGGAATAGCCTATGTGCCACCAATGGAATGTCATCCCGCGGGTGAAAAGAGTACGGCCTTGACTATCGGGAACCTCCAGCGACACCTTCAGCTCGACGGTCCCTCACTGCCAACCTATTTGCCCTCTGGTCTTAAGGGGCATCTGCCGGTCGTTTGGGAGTGGCCACCCTCCTCTCGGTCTCGGCTGGTCCCTTTGCCTGAGGCAACTTCTTCTTGATAGGCCTCTTCGAAGGTCCCTCTGCTGGGCCCTTCTTGTATTTGACCTTGGCTGCTTGCATAAGCCTGTCCTTCAATTTGCCGTCCATTTCTGCAATAAAGAAAGACTATGTTAGAGGAAAGATGAGGAAGACTAAGAAGACAACATAGCTAGCCGACAACAAGAGTGCCCTTACCGATGGGGGTAGGGCTGAGGCTAGCCCACATCAAGGTTTCCTCTGTTATTAAGGGTCTGGCGTGAATCATCCCAGTTAGCTGTATCCGAGTCATCACGGTTGACTCCTCACAAATGTACGGCCTGATCCTCTCGGTCGGCAAGTTCAGTGTCCCCCAGTCGGATTGGAAAGACCATCCCTCTGGACAACGATTGAAGAAGTATTTCTTCTTCCAGTTGTTGATGGACAAGATGTTGTCCACTACCTTATCCCGTCGGCCATGGAAGTGCCATAGACCGTCCCCATCGAGATGCTTCCTCAGGGCGAATATACCTCGGAAGACTTTTAGGGTCACGGACACACCTCGGAGGTGAGCCATCACCAACATAGCCACTATGGTCCTAACTGCGTTTGGAGCAAGTTTATTGAGGGAGATGTTGTAGTAGTTGAGGATTTCAGGGACAAGAGGACGCAATGGGAAACAGAGGCCGAAGTGGAGGTAGTGCTCATGCACACACACCTCCTCCTCAGTGGGCTGCCACGGCTAGTCATCGACACAGGGGACTCTAACCCTATAGCCCCCCGAAATATGGTACATCTTGAAATGAGCCCTCACTTGCTCTTTGTCGATCTCACTATCAAAATCCAAGTGGGGGAAACACATCAGCCTCATTCCTCGGCCTTCAGCCTCAGCCCACTCCTTGGGAGTAGGTTTTTCAGCTTCCTCCGGCTCCACCACTTCAGGAAGTGCTGGGGCATTCCCTATGGCGTTAGCCCTCGACCTCGTGGAGCCAATACTTTCATTGAGAGAATCCATGCCCCGTTGGTCGCGCTTAGCTCCTCCAGGGGCGTTTCTCTCCCTCAGTACCCAGACGCTTGGTGCCTGAGGGGAGCTCTCGGATTCATTGCTGTTGCTCCCACTACTGGACGAGGTGTTAGAGGAACAGCCAGTGTCACTCAAGTTAGGGAGTTCATAACACTTAGGTCCAAAGTCTGAGTATGCCATGGTTTGATGGTAGGAGTCCTTTACATAGTGTCTGAGTGACAAAAGAAAGTTTAAGGGATCGGTTGGTTGGTAACCGAGGTCTTTGGGATCATAAGCAAGAATTGAAGGATCGAGCGAATGGTGAGGACTCACTCAACCAATGTCCCTATTTAAAGGAAATGTACGACTCATATCACTTTAATCCAACGGCCGTAGAATCGCCAACCTGACAGCCCGAACCAACGTGTTACACGTGGCATCGACCTCGGGGAGACAAAACAATGCCAAAAGAGCAAGTTGGTCCGCCCGTTGACTCTGGGTCAGGTGCGACCCAAAACTAGGCAACCCTTCGCATCGTCTCGCGGCATGACCGCTCAACATTGATGTCCGTCCCACACACTGACCCGAACTGGATGAAGATGACACCCATGCAGGACACAATCGACGAACATGGATGCCTTGCACCCGTGTTGGCCACTGTCTTGCATTCTCAGCTCATCGTGATCCTCCTTTGAGGTGAGAAGAAAACAAGGAAGTACTCACCACGTAGTTGCCAGGAAGAGTCCTTAGCAGCCGAGGTCATCGACCCCCATGCGACTACATGAGGCTCTCTTCGACCGAAGCCGAGGCCTCTGCCCAACGTGCCATATGACGCCTCCACATAGCTGCGTAGTACTCTCTTCAGCCGAGGTCGAGGTCTCCCCTCAACACACCATTCGAACTCGGCTACTATGGCCTCGAGTGTGGGGGGCAAGTGATGTAGGTAAAGACACTTACTCTCATGCATTCAACCACTCCAAGGCAAGCTCAACTATAAAAGGGGGTGCTCATCTCTAGGTAAAGACACTTACTCTCTTGCATTTAACCACTCAAAGGCAAGCTCAACTATAAAAGGGGGTGCTCATCTCCAGTTAAAGACACTTACTCTCTTGCATTCAGAATCCCAAGAGAACTCTCCTTAGCTATTAAGGACTAAGCTCTGAGCCCTTGTTTCGAGCCTGGTCTGACCCCTCTTTTGACACTTGGCTAACTTGACCGTTGGAGTCTCCACCCTTGGGATAACATCCGAGGCCTCTGACGTGTACTCTTCTCCTATTCACAGGTCGGACCCGTCGGCCTCAGACACTAGCAAAATCCCCTTGTTGCCCTCGGCCCTGTCTTGGGTAGCAACACTTAGTATTGAAGTTGGAAGGTTAGATAAAGGATTTATTATCTCTCAAAGGAAATACATACTTCACTTGCTGAAGGATATTGGCAAGTTAGGGCATAAACCTTATAGATAGTTCCATAGACCTAAACCATAAACTTGGAGATTGTGAGGGGAAAACATTATTAGATGTCCAACAGTATTAAAGGCTCATTGTCTATGACATGGTGAGATATTGCATTTGCAGTTAGTGTCCTAAGCCAATATATGCACTCATTGAAATCATCTCATCTTAGGGATGCAGAGAGAGTTTTCTCCAATTTGAAGAAACATCCTGGTAGGGGCCTTTTCTTTACCAAACATGGCCATACTAGATTGAAAAGTTAATACTAATGTTGACTGGGCAAGTTTTATTGATCATAGGAGGTTCTTTCTTGGTTATTGTATCTTTGTAGGAGGAAACTTGGTCACTCAAAAAAGTAAGAAGCAAATGGTGGTTGCAAAATCAAGTGTAGAAGCAGAGTATAGGGCCATGTCTCAAGAAGTAGTTGACCTTCTATGGTTAAAGAACCTTCTCATAGAGTTGGGGTTTTGGAATTCTAAACCTGTCTTTGTATTATGACAATAAGTTAACCATTAACATTGCTCACAATCTGATTCTCCACGAGAAGACCGAACATATTGAAGTCGACAAACATTTTATTAGTGGAAGAGTTGAAATTGGTGAAATATTTATACCTTTTGCTAGCTCAAGAGAGAAAATAGCTGATGTATTTACAAAGAGTGTTTCTACGATGTGGCATGAAGAATTATGTAACAAGTTGGGTATGCATGATATATACAACCCAACCTAGGGGAGGGCAAGTGTTGTGAGTAGGGGTGCAAGTCGGGTTGGCCCAAGTTAATAGTTTACATTGTTTCGGGCTCGAGTTTCGGGTTGAGCCTATTGAAATTTTGACAAAATCCCAACCCTAACCTGGAAAAGTTACACCCCTAGTTGTGAGATGTATTATTTTTATATATATTGACGCAAGGGCAGTCTTGTCCACTCACTTATTTTTATAAAGGGCAAATTTCTTAAAGGACCCCTAGGTTTTAGGAAATTTACTCACCCCTACTGTTTTGAAGTTGTCATAAAATACTCCCAAGTTTTTTGACAATTGACTAAATCCTCCCTGGCCGTTAACCTCCTTCACAATCCATTCACATGTAAACACTATGTGACATATAGGGTTTTTTTAAAATCCAATATTACCCTTTTGTGGTCAATTTTTTCCTCCATTATTATTCAAATTTTCGAATATAAAACTTAAACATCCACATTGCAGACAAGAAGCCAACCTTCAACTTTTTCTCGGTTGAATGACAAAGGCAGGTTCCTGAGACTGAAACGGAAGACCACTTTCATTTGCCCTCACCCAAAAGACTCAATGGAGGAGAACAGAACCCCTGCAATGACACAAAGATTGGTCCCAGGTTCTTGAATGTAGCGGTGGCCTCCTTCAGATCTCTCCGTTTCCCACTCCAATACACAAACAAGTTAAAACAGATAGACAAAACCGCAAGACCGACAATCATCTGAAAACTCAGTGATATAAGTTTGCAAACCACTGGAGGTCATTGAGATGAATGACTAGGAGAATCATTTTTTGAATTGTCTTCCATAGTCAAAACAGTTTCAGGTAAGAAATTTACAGTATAATAGATGAAGAGACAAAAGGCCACAAAATCCAAAATTACATTGTCAAAGATCTTATTCCAAAATCACCGATGGAATAAGATCCCATCGCCTTTGCCTAATTCTATCTAGTCATAGCTGTAGAGCAGAACAAACAAAAGATATTATTCAATATTGGGCTGCCCTTATTCAAATCTGAGTTCAGATTCAATAATGGGCTGCTCTTTTAATATTCAATTGAATCTGAATTCGGTTCAGGAATCTATCGCTAGATAAGAAGGCCATCTTTTTTAATTAAAGAAGAATTGAGGGGTACTGTAGCGGGAGGTTTCCTTTTACATAGGTTCAGGAATCTACCGTGTTGAATTCAGATTCAATATTGGGCTGCTCTTTAATATTCAATTGAATCTGAATTCAGTTCAGGTATCTATCACCAGATAAGCTTATTGAAGGCCATCTTTTCTAAAGCATAATGAGGGGTACTGTAGTGGGAGGTTTCTTTTTTCACAGGTTCAGGAATCCACCGTGTTGCTAATGCCATCTTTTTTAGAGGTTTCCTTTTTATTCAGCAAATGAGTACTATAGTAGGAGGTTTCCTTGTTTACAGGTTCAGGAATCTAACCGTGCTAAGGCCATCTTTTTCACAGGTTTCCTTTTTTATTCAGCAAATGAGTACTTTAGTTGGAGGTTGCAACTTGTAAACATGTTTCATTTTGAAAATTTAAAAAAGAATGAGGGATAAAATAGTCTTTTTCATCTTTCTGTTCAGATGTTAACGATAGAGAAAGATTTAGTCAATTGTCAGAAAACATGAGGGTACTTTTAAGGCAATTTCAAAACAATAGGGGTGAATAAGTCAATTTCCTAAAACTTAGGGGTATTTTAAAAAATTTTCCCTTTTATAAAACATTCTAATATAATAGGGTAATGTGGGTACCACCACCCCAAGACAGATTTCTATCATTCTCTTATTCTTTGATTCTCTCCTCTTCTCTTTACACTTTGTTCTTTATTTCTTGATCTTCTTTGACAGATTACAGTAACTTGTAATATGTAACATATCATGTATGGATATACTTGAAGTCCTATATGTTCATGTTATCAGCTAAGTTATATATTTATCAATCCTTGGAATCTCCCTAGGGTTTTCTCCTTGATAGTAACATTTGTATTATTATGGATATAATATAAATCTTAAGGTGTCCTAAAGACATCTTTGGATGGTTGAGACTTACAGTTAGGTCTTCTAGTAATCTAATAATCTACACTGGACAGGCTGATGCGAACCATGTAACTGGATTGTCATAAAATCCTTTGATCTGGAAATGTTGTTGGAAATTCTCTCTCTCAGCTTTTTTGTGACCATGAGCTTGCCATAATGCATATGTCAGGGATAAGTCCGCACAGTTTTGTATTTATCACATCAAATATCATAAATAATTGCCAATTGGCATTCTGTTTACACGAGGGAAGCAAAACCATGTTCAGCTATACAGAGGCACCTGCACCCAAAAAATGTGAGACCTTTTAAATGACAACATATGCTCATTTTCAGCCTTCACATTGAGCTTTTTGACCTTATTTCTTGCTAAGAACTTAAAGTATTGCTACAGAACTAGGCCTACATCACAATTGCACAATATACTAAACAGCTGACTTCAGATCCTTGCCTTGCTTCCCTACATCAGCTTGGATATTGGCCCCTTTGGATTCTCTCACTGTCATCAACCATCTATTCCTGTGGATTGAATAAGTAAGATGAGTTTTCATGAACCTCTAAGAATAAATTAATCTTCTCTTTAAAAGGAAAAGTTATATTTTAATTCTAAGTTTTTCTCAAGTTATACTTGGTGGCCTTCCTGTCACAGATAAAGATGATGCGCTTGATCGACTCCTTGAGCTTTCATATCCAGATTGTACAAACTGAGGATCACTTAAAATATCCTGCAGAAAAAAAATCAACAATTTGTCAAGTCTTCTGAATTATGTTCACCTATGTTGCAAATTCTGAGAAAGGTACTTCAGGTTTTGTGTATGAAATCTATGCCTTCCCTGCTTAACATGTTTTTTCATTGTATTAATTGTATCAACAAGGGGGAATATGGGAATGCATACTCAAAGATCATATCTACAAAAAACATGCTGGGCATTTCACATTTTCAAGAGTTGATATCCATTGTTGAATGGTTACTTAGATATGTAGATACAAATTCTGATGACAGTAATGGGAGATTTCTTTTTTGTAGAAACTAGGGGTAGAAAGAAGGGACCTTAAGGTTAGCTCACCATAAGGGAGGTGGCTGTGGAGACTGCTAATACATAGGGATAAATTGTAGGCTAAGGTGATTTTAAGCATTCATGGGCTGGCGGTTGAGGGCTGGGATATGGGAAAGTGGGCTCGAGCTACTAGTGATTCTCCTTGGAAATCTATACATGCCATCCTACCATCCTTCCTACCTTCCATCAAGTGTAACCTGTGCTCTAGAAATCTTGAAAAGTCTTGGGAACATGTTTTTGTGGGGAATTTTCCACTAAAAGAACAATTCCCTTGTTTTCCATTTCTAATTATAAAAATGAGCCAGTGTCCACTTTCTTGACTTCATCTGAAGTGGGTTCTGAGTTTGAATAAGATTTGGGTTTTAGGAGGGGATTTAGAGATTCGGATATGGACAATGTCTTGCCTCTACTTCAAATTTTACAAGGGTGTTATTGTATCCTTAAAAATTGGATTCCCAGATCTCGACTCTATCCTTTTTCTGGTACTTGTACCTGTACCTCTTTTTTCAAAGCTTTGGCTCAACCCTCTGACAGTCTTGGGCAACCCTTTCCCACAAGGGAAGTTTGGGGTAAATTGGTTCCTCAAAGGATTGGGGCCTTTTGTTGGGAAGTCTTGGGAATGATCAACACCTATGATCTACTTCAAAGAAAAAAGGCTTTTTGGTACAAAACCTATTTGAATCTTCTACTGTTAACTGGACAAAGAAGAGGGGAAGAGTGTAACTTTTTTTCATTTGAATGAAAATTTATTTTTATTATAAATAAAAAGAAGAGGGGAAGAGTGTTGTGGAGATGTATAGTAGCTGCGATTTCTGAAAAGGATAGGAGTAGAAGGTCACTTATTGAAGTAATCACTACTAGAATGGTTCATTGGGTGAAATCTATGGATTTATTTGAAGATATTTCTACAATGTCCTTGCTGAATAACTGGAAGGAAGTAGTATCTTCAGCCCCTAGTAAAACTGTGTCCTCTCCAATGTGGACTCCACCAGATTTTGCTTCCACTAAGTTGAACTTTGATGATGGTAGTGAAGGAAACCCTGGCCCTTAAGGTATCGGAGGAGTTTTCAGGAATGAGGAAGGTGAGGTTAATTTCTTTGTTTTCAGGCCCAATTGGTGTAAGGGACTCACTTCGAGCTGAGATTTTGCCTGTTTTGGAGGGTGTATAAAGGGCTGAGGAGCTGAATATTAGCAGGTTGATGATTGAAGGGGATTCAAAATTGGTAATAGGCTGGCTAGAGAAGGAGGATGACAGCATGTGGAGCTACATTGATGAAAAAAGAAAACTTAAGTGGCTGACTTAGGGTATGAAAGTGAGACTGCAGTGGGTTAAAAGATGTGCTAATTCCTTTGCAGATGCACTTGCCAAACAAGGGGTGGGAAGGGATAAAATGTTTTGGGCTATGCTGTAATCCCATTGTTCTTTGTGGGGAGAGTTAAGAGAGTTTACCTCTCCCTCCTGTACTTGTATCCTCTTTTTAATTCTAATAAAATGGTTCTGTTATTTATCAAAATAAAAAAAGAAAACAAATGCAGATAGACTAACAAACATGCTGATATCATGCTTTTGAATTTTATAAGCTACTTATCTTTTCAAAGACTTGTATCCTGCATATTGAGCAAAGCTTTAAATAGCATGGAAGTTTCTTATGGTAAGATCTGTTAAATAAACTATTTATACATTTTGTTGAAAAATATATACATATACTGTTAGGGCTTGAGAGGTAACGTCTGAAAAATATATACATATACTGTTAGCACTTGAGAGCTAATGTCTGAAAACAACAAAACCTATACCTACACTAGAAGCATCCATGCATATATGGTATTAGCATTATTTCATATTGTATTAGGACAAGTATTTTTAAGATGTCCAGATGTACGGATATTGTAAGATGGTTATGATCTAGAGTGTTTTTGTGCCAAACTGAATATCAACTAACCTTAAACCTATTTCTGTTGAAGCAATTTTTTTGGGGATTATCCAATATCTTTAAGACAGTCCAGTCTTGTGATATAATAATAGATTAGATGGTTACATTCATCTAATGCAATGTTTTCATGTGTAGCAGACTTCTAGATGGACATTCTGTGTGCTCTGTTCTAGGCTCTTCAAGAGGTAATTGTAACCTTCCCAAAAGTTCCAATTGATACTAAAGTAACTAAATTAATGCATGTGCATGTAGGAGCATTTCTATAGTTTCTAAATTTGCATCTCTAAGTAAGTATTTTCAACTCACATGGTTCATTGAAATGTTGCTATGGTTTGGTGAGGCACTTGCACTGCCAACCAGGACAATGTTGGGCATGTTTTCTTCAGCAAGGTTTCTTAATCTGTTGAGCTCTGGCAGGACTTCAGTTCCCAGATCTGGTCGATCTTTCCTCCTTAGCTCTGAACACCTTAGTGATAGCTTTGCAAAACACAATGCCTCTTCGATTGGCCAGTCAGGAACAGCTGGGTCCAGCATCTCAGTGAATTTCCCCTTCTCAATAGCATGTTCAACATGGTGTGTCAGGCCCATTGGTGGCTTGGCTGTTATTATTTGTAGAAACATGATCCCCAGGGAGTAGATATCAGATTTTATACCAAGCATGCCAGTTTGCTGGTATTCTGGATCTATATAGCAGAAAGTTCCTGCAGTTGATGTCATCCGGTACTGGGTAACATTGTCGGCAACATTCGGAGGAACAAGCCTGGCCAGGCCAACATCACTAATCTTGCTGACATAGTTGCGATCGAGCAAGATGTTTGCAGGCTTGAGGTCACGGTGCACTAGTGGCTCTGGCTTAGTCTGGTGGAGAAAGAGCAACCCTGTACCAATCTCTGCTGCTATTCGGAACCTCACTTGCCAGGAGAGAACTGGGGTGTTCCCTCGGCGGAATAGACGGTCTTCTAGGCTTCCATTGGCCATGTATTCATAGACTAGGCAGCCATACTCAGGGCAGGCTCCAAGGAGGAGAACCATGTTAGGATGCCGTATGCAACTCAATATTTCAACCTGCATTGGAGTTTTCAACAAAAGAAAAGTAAAAGAAGAAGGTTAAAAGAAGAAAAGCTATTTACTGAGGTTAGTATTGAATTCTGGTATGGGAAAGGATATGCACAATGAAATAGGAACGAAGGAAGTAAATGGCAGCATCGATGTTGAGATTGAAAGATCCAAACTCTAATGGAACATTAGTTTCTAGTGTAGACATTTTGATAAGGCTACTTGCATTTGGATCTATAAATTAATCACTGTACTTAGGTGGCATAAAAAACATGATTATAATGATAATGTTTTATGCATTCTCAATAAGGATTACTGGGAATATCAGAATAAAAAGGGCATCCCAGTGCACGAGGCTCCCACCGATGTGGGGTCTGGGGTGGGATAGATGTATGCAGCCTTACACGTGCACATACAGAGAAGCTGTTTCCAAGATTTGAACCATGGTCACCCAGGTCCCAATGGAGCAACCCAACTATTGTGCCAATATTTTGTTTGATAATATAATATGTAGATACAGTATCTACAATATTTTGTTATGGTGTTTCCACTGATATGCTTGTAGGCGTCGAATGCATACCCTTCAGGCATCAGATGTGAAGTTAGAAAGATGTAGGCTTTGTTTGTGATTCTAGTCTAGTTCATTCAATTAAAACATCTCAGGTAGGCATATATTTAATGTGTATGGACTTGTCTCAGTGAGGACTGGCAGTTGAGTGCAATCTCACCCAATTGCTCAAGTTTTCTAGAAAATTGTCTAAGTGCATTCTTTTGACCTTTTTGGGTATTTTGTCCTTCAATTTCATTGGACTTTTAAAGCCATTACCTCTTTAACCAAATCTTACTTTTGATCAAGTATTTTAGCTCTGGAAGGCATCTATATGAACAAATTTGAGTTTAAAGCCTTGATGCATGAACAGAAAAAAATAACTTTTTTTAGTCTGCACCTCCTGCTGAAACTGTTGCCTTCCTTGAGCTGCATCTGGTCGCAGAACCTTGATTGCAACTGGTGTATGATCCAAATAACATTTATATACTGGTCCATAACCCCCTTCTCCAATCTTCCGAGTTTCAGAAAAATATTCAGTTGCTGCTTCGATCTCCTCAATTGTGTATTTCCTGTACCTGCAATCTTTATGTGCTAGAGATTCCAGCACCTTCTTCCTCTCCTCTGATTCTTTGATGGCCTTCATTTCTGCATTTAGTCTCTTTTGTGCTTCCAGCTCTGCAATCCTCTGAGCTGCTTCGGCTGCCTCAATGGCTGCCTTGCACTTGGCCTTCTCCTTTTCTGCAATTGCAAGTGCGGCTTCCTCAGCAAGGCGTGCCTCTTCTAATCTTCGCTCTTCTTCCATTTTCCAGCGATGGAGCTCTCTTGCCTGTATGGTGAGCATCTTGTTTAAACTTATCTAGAATCACAATTCATGAGTTTAAGAATCAAATTCAAAGCCTCAGCACCTTCTGTTTTGCAGTGAGTGCTTCCTTGCAAGCTGTACTGTACATGTCCATTGTTTGCTTGAGCTCTAGCTTTAGCCTCCTCATCTCAGCTTCCACGTCCTCCTGTAAGCTCCAACTTAAGAATCTGAGATTTCTATGGTTTTTTAGTGCAATTAGTTTACATGATTTTGCATTACATTTGTAACTGTATATTTCATTTTGCATTTCATTAGATCAGTGTGTACATGTAAAAGAGGAAACCTTGACTGTCAGTTTTTAAATTAGAACAAGAAGCTTATCCATGACCTTGAGAATATCAAATTGATCTCAACTTTCCAATCTATGCATTTGACACAATGAAAAATCATTTAACAGACAGCCCTTTTGAAAATTCTGGGTCAAGTATGTATAATAGTTGTCAAGGTTGATTTTATCCCCTGAAATCCTAGTGGGAGAATATTAAATTGATCTTAACTTTCCAATCTATGCATTTGACACATTGAAAAATAATTTAACAGACAGACCCGTTGAAAATTCTGGGTCAGGTATGTATAATAGTCTGTCAAGGTAGATTTTGTCACCAGAAATCCAAGTGGGATGTGGTGAGTGGTGGCTTGTTTAGTCTACAAACTAGTGTTACATGTTCTCTCCTAAATGGATGACATCTGTATGCTGTAATGGACTGACATCAGATTCTTACAGTCCATGGATTCTCAAGAGAGAGTTCTATATAACATTATCCTTTATATGCTTGCTTATTTGACAAAACCAAATTTAAAAAAGGGCACCGACATTCTCAAGTGGGAAGTCTGAACAGGTATCGGATGCTCCAGAATTCCCAATATGAATGTACCTCTGAGCATGTACACACAGACCGTGCATTGTATTCATGTAGCAGTCTGTACTTACATGCTCAAAGGTGTATTCCCATTGAAGATCCATTGCTGGATCCTCCTAATAGCTAGCTAGCAGATTTGTATGCCACATCAGATTACTATTTTCCTTTCAATTCCATGCAACATTGCCATACTTGCATGGCACCTGTATTGGTAGACCATTGTTTCACTTCACAACTTGTGCAAAAGAGGGGAAAACATTTGTTAAGGATGGATAACTAGAGCATACATCAATGCATATTATGTATTTTGTGTAGGGTTTTTTGTTCTTATCTTTACTTGTGTCCTTACCATAGTCTGTGATGAATCACTTTCGTGTGAGAAGGATGATATCCCATGCATAGAATGAAGATCTGATTTGGGTCCTGACTGTACTGACTCGAAACTTTGGAGGTCTAGGTCTGAGCAATTTGACAGCCGTGGTGTCCGGCTAGATTCGAGATGGTCATATATTGGAGGGAACATACGATCTACGCTTGGCCTGCCAGAGCTTACAAATGATATATCACTATCTGGCAATGAGATCTCTCCATAAGATTTTCCATTCAAGCCCCTCCTTGTAAACGGTGACCTGGTTCCAGTGATAATTGCGTTAGTTCTTTCAGCTTTAGTGTTAATAGATAACAAAACCATGGATTGCCAAAATTGTCAATTTTCCTTTCAAAGTCTTACAGCTTTGAATAGTTCTTTCAGCTTTAAGGGCATGTTCTTTTTTTTTTGCATTTTGAGAGGGGAAAAGTTGGTCAATGGGATTTTGATTCCCATTAATCAAGATATCCATATTTTTTTTTTCAGATTTATATAAGGTTTATGAAAAATTTATTTTTTCAGGTGTCACCCATCTCTCATGTGTAAGTAAATTTCCCGCTTGGATGGGACAAAATTGTTCAGTCATTTTTTTTATTTACCTGTGAAATAAAAGAACATAGGAAAAGTTCATTTATTGGGATAAGTAACTTCCCGAAAAGTGAACAGGCCTAAGTACAAATTTAGCATGGACAAGGAGGATTTCAACACCAAAAAATGAGATGAGAACCACCAAGAATTTTTGGACAGTAAGACATGCATTGATCACTCTTTCTGTTCGGATGGTTATATATAGTATAACTTACTTCATGGATTCGAGTTCACTGTGTATGCTGTTGCGGGGGGGCTCGAATGGTGACAATGGAGCTGCTCCTAGGAGGACCCAGGTAGTTTCACTTAGCCATATGTTTTGAGAAAGAAAAATAGGAAAAAACATGCATGATAATTGATTTATAATTAAAAACAAACCTCTTGAACTGTATGAGTTATTAGACTCTACAGGTTCAGACTTGATACTGAGTTGGTTCTGTGCTTGTAGTTGGTTTCGAAGTGGGGATACAGTTGGAGCTGGACGGGAGGCGGATCTCACTGATGAGATTTTCCCTTTAGAGATGACGTACACTGTGCAGAAGTCTGGTGCCCCTTTTGATACAGTGGTTGCTACGTCTGTACTCTTGAATCTTCTGAGAAACAAGATTTTTGAAGTTAAGCAAACTGGAATAGCTTCTATCAGTCAATGCTTTGATAGAGAATTACACGAATTCCATGCATGAAATGGGATAGGTATTTTTTCTAGGCAGATCTTGGAATTTATTTGGGTGAAATGGAATATATGGTGCACCAAGTGCATCCTGCAGCAAAGAATGTGAGCCAGTGATAAAACAATACGTTATAATTACATCTTTAACGATGAAAGTAAGCTGTTAAATGTGAGTCAATAACAAGTAACTATGTGACATCTTTAATATGATTGATTAAGATTTCGATTTAATCATTTAAATGCAACAAATATTAGTGATTGCATTATAGTTGTACTCTTCTTTTATTTTGTTCCTAAGCCTTTTCATTTTTTTCCTTATTTCTTCTTTTTCTTCCTTCTGTTTCTTCTTCTCTTCCACCCTATTTCTTTGACATCTCTGTTCATAGTTGATTCTATTTCTTATGATTAAGATTGCTGTTATTTTGAATTTATACTATTTCAGACTGACATTGATGGAAAAATTCTTTGACATCTCTGTTCATAGTTGATTCTTTGACATCTCTGTGGCGTACAACTAACTGATCCTACTTCATTTTCACTCTCTTATAATCCTATTTGCCTTATTCAGGTGATTTTATTTTCTTATTTTCTTGATGTTGCAGTGGTCTTTGTTTTAGAAAACAAATCATACATATTGAGGAAAACCCTTTTCATAAAACGAATCCTATTCATTGTGCTTTTCTCATTGATTTAAAGTCTTAGATTCAATGATACTCTACAAGGTTACATGCGCAATGTTATATGCTATCTAGCTGTGTTCTGTTTTATTCTACTGTAACTCATTGGCTGCTAGAAAATGAAGAAATTACCTCATAAAGCCATTCTTTGTTGAGGCACCAACGACCAAATTCTCAATTACATTATGGGAGACATACTCAATTAAAGCTTTTGCTATGTCTACATCTTCAATTACAACGTCCTTGCATTGTATCTGGTGCAAATATTCCATACAGCAACATAAACTTTAAGGATACAAAAATGATAGTTGGCATATAACATTAATTCCTTGTATATATTTCTACCAAAAATTTTTTCAGACTGGCAGGCCCTTGTGTTGTCTCAGGGAAGAAATTCTGGAGGAGCCTGGATCTGCTGCAAGCAACAAGCATGTGAACATGTTGAGAGCACAGAAATCAGATTAGTGCCCCACAAGGACCGTGCCCCACGTGTACATCTCAGCGTGCATTGGGACCATCTCCCGTACTTGTCATGGGGAGATGTTCCCAATACACGGGTGGGAGGTGTTGTGGGGCACCAATCTAATCTCGAGAGCGAGCACAGCATCCAGTTGCACTTCAAGTACAACTTCCATACTTGTCATAGGGAGATGTTCAAATACCCTTTTGCTTGCATTCAAAGGGTACACCCATCATATAGCATATAGGGTGTATCTAATTGATACGTTGAACCTTGCTTGCAGCAGATACCACCAAAGTGTTTCTAAAGTTTTCTGGTATTTCTAACTGAAGCTTCAAAAGTATTCTAGTATTAATTCGACTATGATATGGAAAAGATATGATCTCTGAAAAACATCTGACCAGTCAACTGGAATCATAAATGTGATAGCAAATCAGGTGTTATTTATCAGAATTCATGAATGGGTTTTGATTGGTCAAAACTCTTTCCATACCATATATTTCCTGCATCATAGATTTTCCCAGAGAATAATAGACCTATCTATATATGGAACCTACATCTTTCCGTGTACAAAAGCAACGAAAGGGAAGGAACAATTCCTTGGTTTGGCCATCTTGTTCTTGCCTATATGTTGATGCGACATCATCCCTAACATCAGAGATTGAAACTTGGCTTCCCGCTGCAACCACAAAAGAAATAAACTAAAAATCAGAGAGAGCATGACCATGCCATGAAAGCATAATTGTGAAATTGATGAAGAGTTCATGTAGTTTAATGCTATGAATCTGCCTGGAGTGTTTGAATTTTAATCAACTAAGTGCTGATTGAATTATTAAGGGAATTTTGCATCTTACATGTTCAACTTCAGGAAATTCTTCTGATATCAAAGCAAAATCAGAGTTTCAAATATGAATCAATGTATTTTGTTGTATAGTTATAATCAATAACCATGGTGGATATCTAATTGTCATTTAAGTACCGCTTATGGGTCACCACTGTTATTCTGTAGAGAATTTCCTTTCATAGTTCTTTTTTACCTTTACAAGATTCATTGTTAGGTATATAAACATTAATCTAGGAATCCACTCCCCTCCCCAATCTCCCAAGGAAAAACAAATAAATATTGTGAAAAAATTAGGGCTAGCCACTATCAAGTATGTGCTGATAATATTAAAGAAAAAGACAAAAATAGAAGTTATTTAATATGTTATACTTAACTGCATTTCTCTATAAATTAATAATATCCTCTATGTGCCCTGTGGCATTGCAGAATGGGTAAAATATCTACCATTAGAAAACTTGGTTCCTCAAAATATTATTGGATGAGAAGGTCTTTACCCAATGCTTATCCTCACATTGTGGGCAGACCTTCAGCATTTTTATCACTAAGTGGCTGCTCTAGGTAGGACTTGAAGCGGTGTTCCTGTGAATCTCAGCTTGAATCATTATGTAACCACCAGCATTTCTACCATTGGACCAAGAAATGGCTCCTCTCAGAATATTATGGACGTTAAGATTGTATAAAAATGTACTGGTTTCCTGGAGCTTAAAAGGTTAAAAAAGAACCCTATTGCTTGTTAGACAAATTAAAGCAAATAGGGTTGAAAATGGAATTAAATTGCCTTCTGTCTGAATTCTGTAATCACTTGTATGCATGCCCATGACCTAGTATAGTGCAGAGAGAGAGAGAGAGAGAGAGAGTTACTTGGACTAGGAAGAGTTGAGGCCTTTTGGTTGACATGAATTAGTATTACAGTTTGGCCTTTGCCGAGAATATGATCAACAGCCCATTTCAAAGAATATTGGCTCCCTTTGTCCTTGTCAATTGCAACAGCTACCAACCCACGTGCATCGTCCTTCCTTTCTGAATTTCCCTTGTTGAGCCACATTGTCCTCTGTTACTTCTCTCTCCAAATTCCCTAATCCTTGTATTCAGAACAACAAAGAAAGCCAGACGATGAAGCTTGAAGGAAGAGAGACTCAATCAATATATATCGATCTCCCTCTTCTCTTCTCTACACTCTACACCGATGAACAACCACCGAAAAATTTGCAAACTTCCAGATCAGAGAATGAGGAAAGAGAAAACAAAATAAAAATTTTCACATCCCATCAGATTCTTTTTTTATGAATTTGTCCCTAAAGGTTCAAAAGAGAGAATTGGAAAATCCATTTACCTCTCTTTCTCTTTCTCTTTCTCCCTCTCTCTCGAACCTCTAGAGCTATTAGTTGCATGAAAAGAAGGAACTTTAATAATAAACTCCTTGTTTTTATTATTTGTTGTTCAAATTAAAACAGTTTCTTCTTGTCCACCTCTTCTATTCTCTATCTGTTCTCTAAATTAAGCTTTTCTTGTTCCTTCAAAATACACACCACACAATAACACTTCTCCCTGAATTCCCCCGATGTTGGCGGGCAGTCCATAATTTGACAATTTGACCGTTGCCATGTAGAGGCCCTCTAGACCATCTGACGACCTTACGAGACATAGAGTCTGGACCAGGGGAGGGGAGGCTTTATAATTTAGGGATGCTTTTAGTAGGCAAATTAGCAAGGACACGGGTTTTCTTAAGTGAAAGTTAAATAATAAAAATATATAAAAGTAGACAATGTTTTTATATTTTGACTTTAAAAACTTAATATTATTTATACTTTATATATTACTCTTAATAATTTTTTTATAATATGAAAATAACAATAATTAATTTCAACTAAATTAATAGTCTAATATCTAATAAATAACAATAGTTTAAGCTCAATAATTATTGAAAATTTATAGCGAAAATACACAATTGTTCGGGCCAGGGCTAAGCTAGCTCTGGGTGCCATGGGGCCGCCTAGTCACCTTGGCCACATCAGCACCACGCTACCATCTCCTTGGCTACGTCAGCGCCGCGCTACCATCTCTGCGACATACATCGATTCCGTGGCCACAATAGCACTATGCTACTTCCGCGGTCCCCACCTTATCTTCCTTGCTACGTCGACTCCACGTCATGCGGATAAGCATGACCAAGAACATGAGAGCGAAATGGGACAACCTCATTGGGGATTAGGACTCATCCCGAAGACCTCGACGGCTAACCTCATCCCGACAACCCCGAAAGCCTAATCCGATCAGGACATGAACCTTCGGCTATAAAAAGGTACTCCCCACTCGAGGTAAAGGATCCCAACTTCTAGCTCTCATACCGTTATACTGCTCAGACCAGCACTGTTCTCCAACTGCTCGGCCCGACTACCTACTGCCCTCTACTGACTTGAGCGTCGAAGCATCTACCTAGGGATACCTCCTCAAGCCTCTGACATTTTCTTGTTTGCATATTCCATTCCACGACTTCGTCCTTCCACCTTGGCTCCACCTTGTTGGCAAGGATTAATTGACTATGATCTCAGTTCTTGCACTACTTAGGAACGAGTAGCATCAGATTGGCGTCGTCTATGGGTAACACACAAAAAGCCTTTCCTAAATCTCTCTCACTGCATAGTCAAGAAGCGATCAAGATGGTAAAAAACCACTCTGAGCGTTCAATAGGCCGATCCCCTTCTCGGGAATCTCGCTTTCGTAGCCCCCCACAGCAGGAAACCCAACAACCACAAGCTATTGTTGACCTTGCCCAGTTCTAGGTGATGCAAGAAAAGGTCGACAAAATCTTATCAATGATGTAATCGCTGGGGTCTGCGACACCGCCCACTCAGACCGTCCCCCTTGTTCCCCCGATGAGTACAAAGGTCGATCAAGAAAGGCAAGACACGACAACAAGGTCCGTCTCCTCCACCCGCTCTCTCGAACCTGACAACCGTAATAGGACTCATCAGACTACACGGATCCCAGCCAAAGCTCAGGTGGTCTTTGTCGCCGAGTCCGGTTCAGTTAAAGACCGCCCAACATAGCCCAAGAAAGAGAAAGCCACACACGCCATGGTCCCAGATGATAGGGATGTAGAGATCCGGGAGCTCTGAGAATGCTTGATCGAGTTGGAGCACAACCAGGCCCAGAGGAGTGTAGCACCGCCTGTAGGTTAGCTCGTGCAACCAACTACCTAGCCCGTCAGAGAGCCACCCTTCGTCCAAGAGATTGTTGATGAGATTCCCCCTACAGGATTGAAGGCACCACAGTGTGACAAGTACGTCCAAGAGATCATGGCGACCACATTGTTGATGAGATTCGTCTGAGGACTTGATGTGCAAAGCTCTCGTGGCCACCTTCAAAGGCCTAACCCTGATCTGGTACTCGTCTCTTCCCACGCGCTCCATAGCATCATGGGAGTAGCTAGAGAGATAGTTTCTGGCGTAGTTCACAGCAAGCCAGAAACACTGGAAGACTTCGACCAGCCTCATGCAGGTGCGGCAGAGGGAGACAAAATCTCTCAAAGACTACTTGGTGAGATTCAAAACTGAAGCACTGCAGGTCCGGAACCTGAATCAGTTTGTGGCTATCACAGCCATACAGCATGGACTCTGCTCCTCGCCGTTCAACTTCTCCATATCTAAGAATCCTCCTCAAACACTAGCCGCATTGATGAGTCACGCCCAAAAGTACATCAATGCAGAAGAAGCCCGGGCACAATTAAGAGAAGGAGTGGCCTAATAGGAAGAGAAGGGATACCGAAGAACGAAAGACGGAGAGAGACTGAGATAACAAGATGCAAGATCGTTGACCAGAGTGGAGGCCATGCACACTGCCTTCGACCTTCCAGAATTTCACGCCGCTACCTGCTCTGTGGTTTGAGATTCTGATGCAAATCCAAGACAACAAGTACGTTCGATGGCCTGAGAATATGAAGACCCAAGCCAACAAGAGGAACCAGTCAGATTCACTAAAGACGACCTCAGGGGAGTCCAAACCCCACATGGTGATGCTCTGGTGATCACAGCTGAATTTGCAAATTACGAAGTTTGGCGCATCCTAGTGGACATTGGTAGCTCAGCCGTCATCCTATTCGAAGACGCCTTTGATCAGCTCAGCATCAGCAGAGATTGTCTCACATCGGTCAACACTCCCTTGATGGGCTTCACTGGGAGAAACTTATGCCAAAGGGAAGGATCACCTTGCCCCTGTTCATTGGAGATGGTGAGATCACCTCTATAGCCATGGTAAACTTCACCGTTGTTCGTTGCCTCTCCTCATACAATGCAATCCTTGGCCGACCGACCTTGAATGCTCTGCGAGCCTCTGTATCCACATTCCACCTGGCATGAAGTTCCGACCCCATATGGAGTGGGGGTGGCCCAAGGAGACCAGAAGGCAGCATGATAGTGTTACTTGACGTCTTATCAAGGAAAGCAGCCAGCCGTGGAGACCCTTATGACCGAAAGCATAGATCTGTGCGACTTGTTGAGAACACAACGTGGTCAACTTGTCGAAGACCTCATCCGGGTACCGCTCTCTGAGAAAGACCTAAGAAGACAGTCTAGGTCGACTCTCTCCTAGACGACCACCTGCGTGAAGACCTCATCCAACTTCTTAGGGAGCATGCCAGGGATCGACCCCAAGGTCATCACCCACCGTGTCAACGCCGACTTGCGCTTCCGACCAATCAAGCAGAAGAAGAGGAGCTTCACCGTAGAACAATGGCAAATTATCAATGAGGAAGTCTAGAAACCGCTTGACGTCAGCTTTATCCGGGAAGTAAGGTACCCGGACTGGTTGGCCAATCTATGATGGTGAAGAAAGCAAACGGGAAGTGAAGGATTTGTATTGACTTCACGAACCTAAACAAAGCCTGTCCCAAAGACAGCTTCACCCTTCCAAGGATAGACCAGCTTGTTGACGCAACGGCGGGGCACGAACTCCTGAGCTTTATGGATGCATTCTCAAGGTACAATCAGATCCAAATGCATCCCGATGATCAGGAGAAGACTGATTTCATCACTGACTACGGACTTTACTGCTACAATGCTATGCCCTTTGGCCTCAAGAATGCCGGTGCTACTTATCAGCGGCTGGTGAACGAGGTGTTCAAGGCCGAGCACCATCTAGCTGATCTCAGGGAAGACTTCGGCACCCTTAGGAAGCACCAAATGAAGTTGAACCTAACCAAGTGTGCCTTTGGGGTCGGTTCGGGAAAGTTTCTAGGGTTCATGGTCACTTAGCGAGGAATCGAGGCTAATCCAGAAAAAATCCAAGCCATCCTCTATATGTAGTTGCCTCGAACTCATAAAGAAGTGTAGCGCCTTACTAGACGGGTAGCCACCCTTAGTAGGTTCATGTCTAAGTCCGCGGACCGGTGCCTACCTTTCTTCAAAGCTTTGAAAAAGTTCAAAGATTTCCAATGGACCGAATAGTGCGAGTAGTCCTTCCAAGAGCTAAAGAGGTACCTAAGCTCGCCACCTCTTCTCACTAAGCCGAGTCTAGAGGATGAGTTGCTGCTCTTCCTCTCGGCCGGTGACGAGGTGGTCAGCTCGGTACTGGTTAACGAAGAGGACCAAACACAAAGGCCGATCTACTACACAAGAAAAGTCCTCAACGGCGTGGAAACTTGGTACTCAAATGTAGAAAAAGTGGCCCCGGCCCTAATCACCACGGCAGGGAAACTCAGGCCATACTTCCAAGCCCACAACGTCTGCGTGTTTACCGACCAACCCCTCAGACAAGTATTATGGAGACCGGTAGCATCTGGCCGCCTAATCAAGTGGAGTGTGGAACTGAGTGGATTCGACATAGAGTACGCTCCATGGCCTGTCATCAAGGCCCAAGCCCTTGCCAATTTCTTAGCAAAGTGTATGTTCACAGTACAAGACCCAGCCCTAGTGCCACAAATATGGACTCTCCATGTTAATGGTTCATCCAACAAGCAGGGCAGTAGGGCCGACCTCATTCTCTTCGGGCCAGAAGACATAGTGCTTGAACACGCCTTAAGGTTCGAGTTCAAGGCCTCCAACAACGAAGCTGAGTACGAGGCTTTAATCGTTGGACTCTGATTGGCCCTAGACCTCGGTGCATGACATGTAAAATACTTCAGCGACTCCCAATTGGTGGTCAACCAGTTCCATGGCCAGTTCGAAACGTGAACCCCGGCGATGGCAAGTTACCAGCAAAAGGTACAAAAGCTTGTTCAATGGCTCGATCACTTCACTATCCAACATATCCCTTGAGCTGAGAGCGTCTGAGCAGATGCACTCTCCAAGCTAGCAAGTTCATCGGAGACCGACCTCGACATAATAGTCCAGGTCAATGTCTTGGCCCAACTGAGCATTGCTCTAATGATGCT